AATATAAACCTTCATTAATAGTATTACGTATAACCACTATGTCATTTTATAAGATTTTATTTAATATATTAATATAACAATGGATATAGCATTCTCTTCAGACTTACATGCATGTGTAAGCAAATAGTTACAAAGATGAGTACGCAAATAGCTATCCACATGCATTTTATCAAGAAAACGCGTAACAAGGTGTCGACCACAAACCACGATAGCATGTGCTACAACAAACTGTATTGCGTAGGGGATATTACTTGTATAGTTTTAGTTCTTTCGCCAGGCCCTAACCAAGCCAATAACATCTGAGTTCAATCAACCACTTCCAGAGAAATGCCGATATAGGATTTGGCCTCAGTGCCTAGATATTACATTGTAAAAGCTTTGTGGAGTTGTGCTCAGACAGAGATACGTCAAAGGTTTAAAATATATTCATATTGTTATAATCTTATATAATAGAGACGTTATTTACTGCTATTGAAAGTTAGAGAATAAATTGTCTCAATAATTGACTTACACTGCATGTGTTTGTTGCGAGTATAGAAAAAGAACCAAAGCCAGGGAGTGTTATTAAAATTAGGACCGGGCTCGTAACAAGCACGCTAAGAAAAAAAAGAGCAACGCCTTTTTTTGCTTTTTTAGTAATTGAACCCAAATTCTTAAATCAGTTGCTTTAGCTAAAAATGTTAAGTAAATATTTTTTATTGAAGCAAGGCAAAAGCATATCTATCAGCTGTTGCTACTCCAACTTCCTCAGAGAGAGGACGCTTTAAAGGTTCTCACTATACCTAACTTGAAGAACGTGTTTTCTTTCTTTTTAGATCTACCTTCTATAGCGATCACGAACTCTACCTTGATGCATAACGACGGCAGTGGTGCAGTCATAAAGAAATTCACAGGCCGGATTAAAATTTCTAAAACTAAGCTCTTTCGAAATATGCAGCATGGTTTGGCCATTGAAGGTCTTTCCGGGATTCTATCCGTCAGATATACCGAATTGGATAGCAACACTGCTAAAGGGCTCCTAGTTGTACAAAGCAGTCTTTTAGTGAGTGAATTGAATGAGGTGCTTTTAATCAGAAATAGAAAACAAGGATTGCATTTTTACCGTGTTTCTATGAGATGCCACTTATCAAGTAGTAGATCTGAAAGAAACTTCGACAGCGGTCTGCTTATCTTTGAATCTGGCATAAAATGCAACATAACCGACGCAATTTTTAAAGAAAACTCTCTTGATGGAATTAGAGTAGATAGCAGTTTTGGCTACGTCAATTTTGATAGTATGACCGCCATTTCCAACAAAGGTAGTGGTGTTTACATGCTGAATGGGATGGTATCAAGTGTATTTCAACATTCAAAATTTTGCAAGAATGAACGCGATGGATGCAGGATATCGAATCAATTTGGTGGTTACAAATTTTACAATTCCGTAGCAAGTTCAAATTTGAGGCACGGTATTCATTTGTTTGACGGAACTGACCGATATCGCCCTCGTCGTCATTTTGAGGATTTCACTCTTCAAAGCAGCACAGTCAGCGCGAATGCCAAATATGGAGTCAACCTTAACCCGGAATGCATGTATGGGTATAATTCAGCCATCAATGTGACGTTATTTATCAGCGAAAATTCAATCACACGTAACCTCAAAGGTGGTGTCTACCTGTTTCCAGCAAAATGCCTTTCACGCAGAAACGAAAGACAGCGACGAATTATAGGCACTATCACCTACAACCATTTCGAGCAAAATAGAAACACTTCGTTCTACTTGTACTGCACTGGTCGTTTTGGCTTCAATGCGGTATTTTCTGACAACACGTTTTTCAACAACACAGGGAATGCCATCACTTTGACTGACAGCAGCAAATGTGGTTCACAATTTGAGTCGAATCCTGTTCATGTCGATATTCGCAGGAATTATTTTATGAAAAACACAGCTGAGAGTGTCATATATATTGATTTTCATTCCTTCTCACAAACACGGTCAGCTCTTCTAAAGAACAACACATTCAAACAGAATAAGCCCTCTGGATATGACCCTTTTTCCAACATCTTTCGACGTTTTGAAAACCGTGCTTGTGTTATTTTAAATGTAGGGAACTTTGCCCTCCATAGAAATGTATTTGAAAACCCCGAATTTAAGTTTGAAATCTCAACTATACGACAAGATGTTCGTAACATTATCCATGCAGATTTAAATTGGTGGGGAACGTCGAATGAATGTGAAATTTTCCAAAGATTATTTGCTTTCCACCGACGATGTCATCTCTCTCCTATAACGTATTTCCCGTTTTTTGTCTCCTACGATATGACCGAGCACAATAGCCTCAATACTTCGAGACCATCTTGCTTTCTCAAAGGTTCGACTATTGGTGGAAGCCTAGATAGAAATTTAACATTGTCATCTGCTCGTTCGCCCTACACCGTGAGGGATGACATAATTGTTCTGACAAATGCCACTCTAACCGTCCGCCCTAATGTCACTTTGCAATTTCCAGCTAAGTCAACGATGGTTGTTCAAGGTCGTTTGATAGCGAGTGGCACTGTAAGCAAAATGATCAACTTCGTAAGGTTCCAAAGCGATAGAAGATTCCGTTTGGCAAGAGGTGCCGGACCTTGGGATGGTATATTAGAAATTCTGGTAAATAGCACATGGTGGCCAGCCTGTGGCAGGCAATACAGATCCTACAGTACCGAAGGGAAAATTGTGTGTAAGCAACTGGGTTTTGACTATGATACTGTATTCAGAACTCGCGTGCCTCTAGACGTACGAGGTTTTATTCACAATATTATCTGTAATGTGGATGGCAATGATATAATGAGCTGCAGTGCATCTGCTTGGAGATATGATAAGAAATGTAGGGGTTATACCATATATATTACTTGCAAGAACTACCATTGGGGAGGACTTCATTTGGCGCTAACTCAACACAGAAGCAAATTACATCATGTAGAGATTAGGGACGCTGGATACGCCTATCGCAATGACATCAGTGAACCGGGTGTTTCACTCAGAATCGACTTTAACCAACACGATATAAGTCATATTTATATTCACAACTCCAAGGGAATTGGCGTGGAAGCAACGTACACCAATATATACCGCAATTACAACACTAGCATAATTCCAATGTCCATAATATCAAACACAGCATCGCATGGATTTAGCTCAATGTCACCGTGGCTTGTTCTAACTGATTTAAACGTTACACAAACCGAAGGCTCTGCATTCTTTATTTCAAATTTGTGGGGCGTGGCAAACGATCTTGCGGATGAACTAACGAGTCCTGACATGTACCAGATATTCCGTGTTTGTTCCTCGAACAAAACAATTGTGTCTGGCAATAACGTTTTTTATTTCTCTTTGGAGCGATTGCGAAACAACCAACGGTTCAGTTGTGAACACATCATGCAGACTGAACCTGGCTATAGAATTGTTCTTCAAATTCTCTATAATGGATTTACCAAGAAATGGCACGAATCCGACGCAGATGTGAACGTTAACTTGGGCATATTTGATGGTGTGAACAAATCCCATGATTCTTCTATACATCTTTACAAGATAGGCTCATATGATCAACGTGTTTTTAACTGCTACAAATCATCAATATTATTTGATTTCTTCAAAGCCAGTGAAAAAACAGTTGTTTTCAAATTTTTGGTCTATACTGTTAAAGGTGAGCTCTGATAAGTTCAGTCATGTTGAAAATATCCACGCAAGTTAACTGCCTGATTAGCTTATGAAGCATTTAGTTATATATTATAGTGACGCAGTTAACTCGTGTAGTAATTAACTAATCATAATTGAGGATTTATACATAGTTGACAACCGTAGTAAAAGATTTAATTGCCGTGATTCGGGCTAATCATAGTTAAAAGTTAACGACGTTTTTATACAAGCGGCCCGTTGTATCTGGTTGTTTTAGCAACCCTATGAATTTCTAGAAATGCATGCATACAGAAACTCGCAATTCCAAACCAGAGAGCCAGACCTAGCTATATTATGAATGACTCAATCAATATAACTAATATTACCTTGCAGAAAATATGGTCCTAAACTGAACATTGCCTTTTTTCGCTTTATTAAGGTGATTAAGCCGGTAGTTTATAGTTGCGAATTCAACTTTTAAAACATCAAAAAAGAAAAAATTTTATTCATATTAGTTCCGTCTCTTATCATGCATACCATTTATGTCTTTATAGAAAATGAGACATTTCCAAACAACGTAAATAATAGCAAAATAGAGATATCTAGATCCAGAATCTCTAACAGTGATAACGGTGTTTATGTGGCTGGGAACGTTTTGAAATCCGTCGATATCTTTGACACGCAGATTACCAATTCACGCGACTCTGGCATTAAAGTATCCTCCAATGGACACATCAGGGCGATGAGAGTCGTTATTCTAGACAGTAAAAAAAATGGTATATTGGTGGTAAACAGCTTGATTACTTTCTTTGTCACTAATGTGCACATTATAAATTCAGATGGTCAGGGCATTTACACAAAAGCTGATATAGGTACAGTAAAATTTGTATCAACATTGCTTGAGAACCTTATGTTTGGTATTTATGTGGAGTCGATGGATCCAAGTACAGATTTCTCGATAGAAAATTGTGTTATTAATGCAACCCTATATCACAGCATTGTTATCGGAAGGAAAGTACAGTACGGGAAAATGAGAATTCTGAACTCAACTTTGAGCCATAGTGAACAGGAAAGCGTGTATATTGCTGGGACGTATAACTTTAACTTGTTGATTAATGGCAGCACGTTTGCCTTGAATAAAAAAAGTGTGGTATACTACCATCGCGAGCATTATAACAAAAACAATCGGATCACCATGGTATTTGAGAACAACAATTTCGTTTCAAACCAAGAACCGGTATTATACATGTATGACTGTTGCAAAATGTCAGTGATAATTCGTGGTAACAATTTTCACCAAAATCAAGCCTCTTCTATCATCAATCTTGACGCTAGATCATCATATTCGTGCAGACCAACTATGTTGATTTCTGAGAATATCTTTTCAGCCAATCTGTGCCCGAAAAAAGCAGTCATATGTCTTGAAAGTGATGTCAGCAGTGTCAGATTGGAGAAAAATATTTTCGATTTCAACTTAGGACGTTGTCTGCATATGGCAGGTAGCGTGGCTGATTGCTTCTCAATCACGAGAAACGTGTTTTATCGAAACAGCGTAAAAGATCACAGCGTACTTGATTTCCTCCGCATTGAAGAGAATGCTGTGTTTACGAATAATAGTTTTATATAGGAAACAAAGCAAATGGGGTGGTGTCTCTACAAGTCGTGTACAAAACTGAGTCAACTTTTAAACGCCGCGGACATGTCAACTTTACACAAAACGTTTTATCCCACAACTTACCATCCTCCTCTTCTGGTCGTATACCAGGCAAGGCAGATTCGTGCTCAGTGTCAGTTTCTGGTGTACTGTTTTTCAAGAAAACCGATATTCATTTCAACAGCTTTGACAACCCAGAATACACAAAAGAGTTTTGCGTTTTAGTTCCTGCCACTTCTCATCGCGACATAATCGACATCTCAAACAATTGGTGGAGAACGGAAAACTCGTTTGAAGTACGTGATAGGATATCTGATTTCGATGATAACTATGATTATGCGATTGCCGAAAGTTGGCCATTCCTAAATGCGAATAAATCGTTAGCATTAGGTTTACGACAATATTACAAACAACGGGGAAGAATTCTTTCAGGGCGTATAACTGAATCGACCTCTTTGAAAGCGTCAAAAAGTCCCTACAGAATAACATCAGATCTAACCATTTTAAAGAATACAACTCTCGTCGTGGAGGCAGGGGTGACGTTGAAGCTGTTACCAGGTGTTAGTATTCTTGTGATTGGTGCACTTCAGGTGAAAGGAACCCCGTTGCAACCGGTCCACTTCACCATTGACAATCCCACGGGGAGGAATAACAGATCGAGAATGATTGTTCGACTTGCAGATGGCAGTTTCCCATGGCAAGGAATGGCGCAACTGTTTAACGGTTCGGTGTGGTTGCCGCTTGTTACACCTGGCAATCTGTCGGCGAGCAATTTAACAAATGTAATCTGCAAACAACTTGGCTATGGACCGCCGACCACTGGTAAACAGATTGGAATTAGCCCATTTCAGAATGTCTCTGATTTTTTTCAATTGCATTGTCTCGGTAATGAAACTACACTGGACGAATGCAATAATGTCGAGAAAAACAAGAGTAGTAACATGAGCTTAGTACATCTTGAATGTCATGGAACTGTTTGGGGAAACGTACGTTTTGTTTCCTCAAGTGAAAAAAATTTAACACAGCCGCGCTCAAGTTTAAACTTTGTAAAGTTCACTCACTGCGGAAATCGTCACGGAATGCATGTTCCTGCGATAGAAACGGTTATAAACATCCCAATAATGAACGCTATTACGGTTCAAAATTGTACTGCTGGTGGTTTAACAATTGCGTTTCCAAATCGAAATGTACACATTAACCAAAGCCTGTTCCTAAACACAGGGGGAACTGCAATCACAGTTCTACAAACGCGGCGAAAGGTGCTTGTTGAAAATTCCATGTTTCGTGAAAACATCCGTGGTATATCTTTCGAGGAACCAAGAATGGAAAAAGAGCCGCAAGTCAACTATGGTCGGGTGTTCTTGTGCAGTGATGTAAAACTCATTCACATTCAAACTACTAAACTTTTTTACTTCAAATTGTCATTGTTGGAAAACATACCAGTGGTACAACATTGTGAGAAGGCCCTAACTGCGCCTGATGGTAAAGGATTTAAGTTGGTCGTATTGTACCAAAGTGGTTCAAGATATATCCAGATCTTTGACTCACACAGTTCGAATGATAAATCCATTTACCAGGGCTCCGTGGCAAGCATTGTCCAAAAAGATTTTTTTATACCCAGAGGTGAAATCCTGTTGCGTTGGAATGGTGACTCGAATTCAAAGATTACGGTTTTAATTGAAGCCATAAAAATATCTGGTAGGTAAAACGCATATCCATTACTCCACTTGCAATGCATGCATGCTGTTTTGAACGATCTTGATAAATATTTCGATAAGCATGCAGCCTATTATTTTGTGCGCAAAACTATTTGTGTTAACCATGACATGAACGTGAAAGTGTATTTGAATTTATATGAAGCAAAGAAATGGGCTATTTTGATTGGGCTATCATATTTTCCAGCACTAATGTATTAATCTTTCTTTGTACCTCCTTATTGGTTAATTAAGAGAAGCCCTTGTGACAATAAATATATCGCTAATGATTAATTGTTTCCTCTAGCTACTTGAATTTAAAATCAGTTGAATTGAATTTTACAAGTCCCTCAAAGCTATCACAATTACTATGCATATAGCAATTTTTTGTATGATAGACGCCAAATACTAGGTATATCCGGTGAAGTATCCCAGAAATCAATGAGCATTATACAGCGTTTTAGAAGAACGATTTATCGCTAAATATACATCGATTCATCTTAGGAGCACTTTCTATTTTTACCCTAGATATGCCATGCACCTTCGAATTGGATTTTTGTGGCTGGCAGTCATTCACAAACGTGTCTGTTGTTGGTCGTAAGATGTCACAAACCTGGGCTAGAAATTCATATACATATTACCTAAGCGATCATTCTTACTTTTCAGATCATGGTAAGTCGGTATTTTTGCCTGTATCTCTTTAACAATGTCTTTTTTATATAGGCAAAACTGAAAAGTATATTTATGTTGATCAAAAAAAACGCAAGAGTGATTTTATTTAGTAGCGTTTTGTCGGCCTCTTTTGCGTATTATTTCTAACTTCTTATAAACATACGAGATTTTTTTGAACAGACTGAGCTCGAAGAGCTTTGTACAAAAAGATCGAGGTCCGATATATATATATATATATATATATATATATATATATATATATATATATATATATATATATATAATATATATATATAAAGCTTCAAATCATTGAAATCAAAAAGTAAAACATCATTTGAGAAGAAAAAAATATATTACGTTTCGGGGCACAGCCCCTTCGTCAGAAACGATATAAGATCTTCTCCATGTCGTTAAATACCATAGCCCTAACATTTGCATTTTACAGCAATTAATCATCCTTCGACATAAACTAACACTCCTCCCTTAAATTTAAACCTCTTGGAATATAAGTATTCAATTTCTCAATCCAAAAACTTTCCCTTTCAGTGGGTTTATTAACATCAGTGACGTCAATAATTTGCACTAAAAAGTCATTAAACCCTGTCAATGCCCTACTTCAAAAAAATGTTCATACAAATGCTGTCCACAAATACCGCTTTGTCCTTTAGCAAATTTATTGATCGAGCTCTTATGGTTATTAAACCTTAACCTAAATGACGTCACTGTGTTGCCCACATATTGTTTACTACAAGTTTTGCAAGTTACCAGATAAATCATTCCCTTTGAATTGCAGTCAAAGAGATGGTTAATATAGAACTTACGCCGCCGAACCGTAGTATAAAATACTTCGCCTATCACAATAGAATCACAAACTAATTTACTCTTTTTACTACCACATTTAACCATCCCCTTAACTGAACATTCAACTTTTTGCAATTTAGCCCTAATCAGATGATCTCTAAGGCTTTTGGATCTTCGAAAACATACCATAGGCTGTTCAGGCATAACGCTCAAAAACTGCCCAGACAAACCTACAATATTTTGCAATTCCCTAAAAATACCATACAATTCACGCAAAGCTGGGTGAAAATCTATGACAAAAATACTTCTGCTTTTTTGTTCACTATTTTGTTGTTCCACCTCCTAATTAAAAAGTGCTGAACGATCCAAAAGCCTCACTCTTTCAAATTGACTTTCAACAAATTCATTACTATACCCCCGTTTGGCCAAAAAGCCTTTTAATTCCGCCAATCGTTTCTCCAAACACTCATCTGAACGACAAATACGTTTCAATCGTAACGCTTGTCCATAAGGGATTCCCCTCCTCACATGCGGGGGATGACAAGATTAAAAATTTAAATACTGATGTGCATCAGTAGGTTTACTATACACATTAGTACAAATGACCCCATTATCTAGTTCTACCATAACGTCAAGGAAGGGAGCTCTCCTATCACTTATATCCCATGTGTATACTTAATATCTGCATGAAAAGAATTCAAACGGAGAAGGAAATTATCAAGTTCCTCCCACGAGTGAAGCCAAATCATGAAGATATCATCCAGGAAGCGCCACCATACCCACGGTTTTAATTCACATGTCTCTAGAAAGCTTTCCTCAAAATATCCCATAAAAATGTTGGCAAACCCGGAGCAAACTTGGTTCCAATGGCTGTCCCTAACTATTTTTTGACGAAAATTTTTTTCGTCAAATTCAAAACTATAATTATTTGCCAATATCAATCTAGCCAAAGAAACCAAGTCCTCCACAGGGAACTTCCTCTCAGCCTTAGAAAATGCTTTCTTAAGCGCTTCCAGTCCCTCATTGTGTGGTAGGCTATATGAGGATATAGGCCAACCACGTCTATAGTACACAATATAACATTAGATGGAACGTGCCCTAAATTTTCCAATTGTTGAAGAAACTCGGTTGTATCTTTAATCACAGATGGTACATTAATCACTAAAGGCTGTATATGAAAATCTAGAAATTCCGATATCCTTTCCGTGGCCGTACCGCAATTTGAAATAACGGGCCGGCCTGGTATGCTATCCAAACGCTTATGAATTTTAGGTAGTAGATAAAACTTTCCTAAGCGAGGTTTCGAAACCAAAAGATATTTTCTGTTTTCCGAAGAAATATAACCCTTATTATAGTTAGAGGATTTAATGCTTTCTCCACTAGCAATTGAACCTCATCAACGGAATCTGACTCAATAACCTCACATACCTGCTCATCATTAAGATGTTTGTATGTTTCTGTACAGTAATCATCCCTCCCCCACACTACTACAGCACCCCCTTTAGATTTTTTAGTGCGTCCTGTTCGTTTTCGGAAAGATTACTGAAACTACTGTTTCCTACATCAATATTAAGAATCCGTTCCTCTAACTTACTCAAATATAGTTCTATAGCTGGTTCAACTTCAGTAGGACTCCAAGCTGACTTTTCCTTGAATCCGGTAAAGCCCTGTCCGTCCTGTTTAACAAACGGCTTAGACTGAAAATAAGCTCTGCATTTTAATTTCCTACCGAACTCCTTTATATCCCTTTTAACCGCTGATAAATCCAACTCAAGAGGAGTAGGACAAAACTTTAAACCCTTAGAGAGTAAGGAAATTTCAGCCTGGGTTAACACTCTATTTGACAAATTTACAACATTGTCCGAGACAAATTTGCTTTGTTCCGTAATAATACTTCCATTTTCAACTAAAGTTCTATCTTCTTCCCCACTCCGGCCAACTATATCTTCAAAATTCTGTGATGTTCCATCATTCTTACCCTTCCGTAAAAGTTTTTCTGCAATCATTAGATTTTACACAATCCGATACATATCTTCTTAGATCACTAATTGCTTCGCTCGACAGCGCCCTTCTTCTCCGCTTCACTTGACTTCCCGAAAACTTCGAAAATTTCTTCCTTCGCCTAGCCGTCAACTCATCCCTCCATCTCACAACCTTCAAGTTCAACCAGCCAACTCTTAACTACTCGGTCCCCCCTCGTATAGGTCAAATAGCGCGTTTTACTATGGATTTTATGGCACAATTCGGCCTGCTTTCTCCTTATTTCATACTTAAGTGCAACCAACAATTTACGTTCTGCTTCAAATAACGCTTTACGCCACTCTGCCTTAAACCGAGTCGATACTTTCCCGATTAAAGGGGTTTTTCTTAGCCGTAAACATTTCGGTGTAACGTTCTCCGATAAACTTCTACAGTATACCTTCTCATGATGTTGTAATCGTACGAGCTTATGTCGCATGTCTTTTAATGCCAGGTATTCTTTCCTTTCGCTTTCCTTCCATTCCCAATAAGACATATATGGCAAAATTATTATAAATATCAGAAGCCTCCCAAAAACATACATTTATATAAAGCTTCAAATCATTGATATATTTGTAAATATATAATATATATATATTATATATATAATAATATATATAATATAATATATATATATATATAATAATAATATACATAAATATATAATATATATATAATATATATATATATAAATATATATATATTAAATATTTAATATATATATATATATATATATATATAATTTATATATATATATATATTATACGCAAATTTTGCGTAGTAAATCAGAGTGCTCAATACCAATACAATAGTAGAGCAAATAAATCAACAAATTACAATCTTAAAATTTTTTTTAAAATTTTATTTCGCTACACTGTGTTTCACGTCCTTCTACCGTGTACGATCATCAGGCGATTACTCGCGATTACTCGCCTGATGATCGTACACGGTAGAAGTACGTGAAACACAGTGTAGCGAAATAAAATTTTAAAAAAAATTTTAAGATTGTAATTTGTTGATATATATATATATATATATATATATATATATATATATATATATTTATATTTATTTGTAGTAAGATATGACACCGAGTTGCAGCCCGCCATGGCAAGTAGAAAATTCTACTTGACCACGGCAGGATATATCGGACTAGTATTCCGAAGGCCACGGGTTCAAATCGAAATTACGAAAAAAACACATGTGAAAACCACATGTGAAATCACATGTGACTCACATGTGAAATTGGAACAGTTTAATCACATGTGGTTCACATGTGGTTGTATCACATGTGGTTCACATATGAATCACATGTGCTTCAACACAAGTGAAACACATGTGGATCAGGAGAAACCACATGCAATTCACATGTTACTCAGTTTCGACCTTCACATGTGGATCACATGTGGATCACATGTAGTTCACATGTGATCCACACAAACTATTTCATGACACCTTATCTTGTTTGTTATGCAATTATCATGCACAGAAAATGCCTAAAATAAATCACTCGTACACAATATTGCAGGGTGAAGCAAATTAATGCACATATATTAATAACCATAATTATTACAAAATGAAGTGAAACATTTGACTATGTTAAAGAGTAAAAGATACATATATTAATATAAAATAAAATGAATTATAATACTATAATTTATTTAGTCACCCTACTGTCCTTAATTGTTGCTAAGATCTTCCTGATTCTTTCTTCGGCTTTCCATTGACAGCCTAAACTCTTTGCACTCTTGTGCCATAACAGCTTTTATAATTGTATCATTTGCTTGAGGAAATTTCATGATGACAAAAGCTGTAAGAAATATAAACAGGATTGTTAATTAATAGCAATTGCAGTTCATCACAAACAATAAATAATTTACAGTCAAATATAATTTGAATGGCTGCAAAACATAACATTGAATAGAAAGTGAGAATGTTATCTACTGTATTAAAAACATTAACAAAATAACAATCCGTTCTTCTGAGAACTGCTGTTGTTCATGCTCAATAGTTAATAAGGTTGTGCAGACCTAGGGAATGGCTGAGGCAAGGAAGGGGCTTGAATCTTAGGAGAAGATGCTAACCTTTGGTGGTGTACATATTTTCTTGGTTTCATCAAGTGCTGCTAAAACTGCCTCTTTAAAATCTTAAATCCAACTGGTCATGTTGCTCAGTTGTTA